GCGAATATTCCGAATTCCCTTTGGAAATTCACGTTTCAAAGAAATTTTCACGACGTTTATTGCTCGCTTCGGGTTTCAAGGATCACTTTTATATCTATTTTTCGGCCGATGACCGGATATTATGCTAGACGTTTTCTTTTTTATATCCTTATTAGCTTTTGTCAGCTATTTTAAAAATTTAATATAAATATGTTTCGCGTATTCCAATGTAAGCATGATATTGGTCCTGTCAACGCAAGATTAAAAATTCAAAAAATGTATTAAAGAAATATAAGAATAATAAGTAAAAAAGTAAAGCATATGAGTAGAGATTTAAAAAGAAATAATGTTAAATATAAAGGCAACAAGGTTGCTGCAAAGGAATAAAGCAGCAGGAATGAAAGAAAAGAAATCTATAAAAAAAAACAAAGAACCACCAATCAAAGAAGAAAAGATTGGAACAAATGAAATGTTATTAAATATTTGCAATTTTCTCATTTAAATTCAAAATAAACCGAACCCAGGAGCAGCAATCAAGCACATAACCTCTAAGTAACAGTGTCACTCAGAGACTTATGTTGGTGAAATATAGTTTTATCAGCGAAATAAGACTAAATCGAGCGAGGACGTAGTTTGTCATCTGGAAAACGCCAAAGATATCGGTCTGCGTATGAAAGATAAATATAAAACATGTGTACATAAAAATATTAACTGTCGTATTTATATTTTTGTAAGCAGAAATAAAATTCACTTCAGCGCATGACTGAAATGTCAGATAATATTTTCAAGTGCAAAAACAAAATGATCTCCATATCATACTAATGTTATAAATCAGAAAGTTTAGATGGATGGATGGATGTTTGTTAGAGTTTGTAGCCAAAACGGCTGAACGTTTTTTAATAAAATTTGGTATACATGTAGAGGATAGACTGGAAGAACACATAGGCTACTTTTGTTTTTTTTTTTATCACGCGAACGGAGTCGCGGGCGACAGCTAGTTCATAATGTTTAATACAAAATGATTCTTTCTAGAAATATTGGAAAATTCAATTCCATTTAAATTGTTCTGATCTAGAACTAGTACCAATCGGTAATTTGGTAAAGGAGGGGAATCATTCAGACGCGATCAAAGAATTCACTTTGAAGACGGAAAATGAAATTGCTTTTTGAGCGTTCCTTAAGAAATTCTTATATGTTACGGAGATATAACGTATCGTTAACAAAAATCAAGCGGGAATCTACCATAGTAGCTTATATACTGTAATTACCTATTGATTTTGCAATTTCGATTACCTTAATAATTTGCTCTGAAGAATTCACTTGAATGTGCTAATTCTCAGGAATTACAAATTGAATTTATTTATAAATTGAACAGTGGTAAAGCCCGCTTTAACATCTTCGCACGAATGGGCCGGTTCGCCCGGTTTAATACCACGACCAAAAATAAAAACAAGCATGAAGTGGAAGCAATTCCGCGTTCAGGAAAAGTGGATTTGACGGTGGAGGAGACGCACAGGAAGGGGAAATGTCCTCTTTATGTGCGTCTCCTCCTCCGTCAATTATGGGCAGACAACGCATCTGCAATAGCGGATGTTTATGGACAGCGGTCGCTTTCCATTTCGGTGGATTAAAGTGGCCATCTTATATTATATAAAAAAAAAAGATGTAAAGCGTACTAATTTAGGGAGATTATAGTGTATTTAACATCACGCTACTAATTAAGGGAATCGAGCAGAAAGAAAAATAATTATATGCGAGGGCTAGGAATGGTGAAATCCAAGTAGAGTTTGTAAATAAAGACATACAATTGTAATCGAATAAGTAAATGTTATGTTTAGCGGGAAAAGAGCACTTTATAGTCCCTGCGGGTCTACGGAAAGGAGACATTACGTGGGGAGTATTAATGGAACCATTTGACCTGCAATAACTATTCTTATCTTGTCTCCATTATTGCTATTTATTTTTCTAAATAACTTATGGGAATTATCCTAAATGTGTTTAATTTTTCCTCTTCGGTTTGTATTATATTTGTGTATGCTAATATTAGATAAAAAATTGTATATTTATATATATTGAAATAATTCAAAAAAATTACTGCACTACAAAAAATTCTTTTATCGTTAAAAACCAACGATATCGTTGAGTGACTTAGGCTACATTTTTATTATTTCCAGCAGACGATGTCGTGAGCAACAACTAGTGTAATATAATCACAGTATAAAAACATGTTACAGATTAAAAAATAACTTTGATTGTGTCTTTTATCTAAAATCTTAAAGATTACAAGTAAAAGTCTTAAAAGCTTATCTTATAATTGTAATTATTTTAGGAAATCTTTCATTGTATCAAGAGGCTTAGATGATATCTCCAACCCAATTACGTTTAATGGAAACTGATTTTAATTAAAAGAAATTATTATGGTTCTAGTTAACAATATTAATAATAACTTATTTATATAGTACGAGCTGTTGCCCGCGACTTCGTCCGCGTGGTATTAGAAAACATACGAACTATCCCTTGGGAACCGGATATTTCTCGGGGACGAAGCTTATCCCATGTGTACTCCAGACTTTGTTTTATATCTGTGCCAAATTTCAGTAAGATATGTTGAACCGTTGCAGAATGATCGAGTAAACATTAAAAAACTAAATTAATGAATCCCACGGGAACCGTAACTATTCCAGGGATAAAAAGTAGCCTATGTGTTCTTCTAGACTATGCTCTAAACCTGTGCCAAATTTCATGGAGATCCGTTCAGCCGTTTAGGCTACAAACGCTAACAAACATCCATCCATCCATCCATCCATCCATCTAAACTTTCGCATTTATAATATTAGTAAGATTAACTGTACGTACGTTTATTTCTTACTAAACAGCACGTATTATTATTGTAGCGTATATTGGTGTTATTTACGTTGCAAAGAATTCCTACACAAACTACACTAAACTACACTGGCGGATTATTATCCCCGCGCTTTACAAATAAAAGACAAAGCTTTGGTCTAAGGTTTTGTTTGTTTAATTAAGAAAACCTTTATGTAGTATAAATTAATTCAGATTTTCGGCAAAGAAAATTTTTTTACTGTAGTTGTGTTCCCAGAAAATTTCAGTTTAGATAAACTTAGATAAATTTTTCCTTGATTTCTGCATTACATCAAAATTTAAAGGCGTTTGTTCCAAAAATAAGAAGTATTTTTTCTTTTTTATTACTATATTTTAGTGTAAGTTATATATTTTAGGATAGTTTTATGCAAAAACGTGTATCTTAAAAGAAATCTTTGAAAGAGGAAGTCATCACTGAGAATAACCAACATGGCCGACGCCGGTAAAAAAAACACATCATTCTTTCACTCGACGATGTTATTTTTAACATGTTCCATATACCTAGCTGATTATCTTTAACTATCCCATAATGTTCTGTGGATTTATCACAAATAATTGCGATAAAGTTGCGAGAACGGTTTTGTAATCATCGACAAAATTACATGAGATATGTTGCTCTGTTTAACGCCTGCTCAAATACAATTTTTGTCGATTGTTACCTTTACTTTCTCACGAATATTCAGGATAAGCCCTCAGTGTTACTGTTATTCCCTGAACTTACATTTTCTAATATACTTTTAATATTTCAATTTAATGTTCGTTTGAATAAAACTTAGCTGAATAAATTAATACAAATAAGAAGTGAACATTGTCTAGTTTGCAGACTAGACTGTGAGCGGAGATAGCCGCCGGCAATAGAATTAAGTTTATTTAAGCCGAATACCAGATGTGTAAATGCATATGAGATTTGCACAATTTTCTCTGTTTAATGGAGCGTTATCTAGTGTACGTGCACTGAATAGACAATTGGGAAATGAGCTGATGCATTCCCTCGGGTGTACCTCAGGGAGCTTATCACGAATATTCGTGAGAACATTTTCGTAACATCGAGAACATTTTTCGTTTTTACTTAATAGAGTTTTGGACCGCATCAAAAATTTCATACAAATTATGTCGATGACGTTACGAAGTTCTCGCAACTATCATGCAAATCGTAATAGATCCAACTGTTCGTTTCCATTTCTAATTACATGCAGGATTCCCTTTGTTAGCAAAAGTACTAACCCTATCGATTTCGAAATGCGAATACGTGTGTTTATTTGCAGTCCGACTGTCGGTTGTTTACGGCTTTTGTAGAGTATTTGCTAACGAGATTAGGTGTACCTTTGTGAGATGAAATATTTACTTTATTTCATTGAAAAGTCTTTGTATTTACAATGAGCTATTATTTGACTGAGAAATAACAGAGTTATATTGAGGTTGTAAAATAATTATATCAACGTTTATTCTGATCACAGTTTTGCTGAAATATGTAAATAATAAGCTATAAATAACAGGAAACAGATTGATTTATAGCTTTATTAGGCTCTCGTAAGCGAGGCTTTAGGACGTTCGGAGATGCCTCGGGATGTATAATGCTTGTTCTTTTTTATGTTATAAGTTATCCTTTACTTTTAAATAAGGATTTATTATATTTACTTTTTAAGGAATTAAACTATTTACTCCAAGGGGATTATCTTACGTCTACTTTTCTTGTTTAAATAGAATTTAAACCTCGATATTGAGAAAAGTTTATTCATAATTATAATAGAAATTACATACTTTTAGATTTATTGGCAAGGTTGTCCCGTGGAAGATTACAAATAAGGTGTTTTATTGAAAATCATTATAATGTAGGTTTTAATAACATAGAGTAATTGTAATATGGTATGGTGCTAATTAGTTGGCGTACTGCATGGTATGTGATATTACGTATGCGGCGTGCGCATAGCGGGCGCGAACTACAAATTTACGATAGAGCCGAGCTTAAAACTGGAGCTTGGATCTTGTGATATTTCGGTGTCGGTGTCAAAACGACACTGCTCTAAAAATGTCTGCGCGAATGCGGGGCAGCCGGGTGTGCGCGGGCGCAGGGCGGGCTTGCGGGGGTGTGCGCGGGGGGATGCGCCCACGCGTTGCCCGCCGCGCCTTGCCGCCCGCCCAGCGCCAGTCAGCAACTGTGGCTCGTGTTGGCTGAACCATCTTGTAGGGCCATCCTCTTTTTCTTGCCGTAGGTGAGTGGTGATATATATTTTCTACTAACTAAAAAGTAATAATAATATGAGGATTGCCAAGTGATTAATTGTTCAGTGAAGTGATGCACGTTTCTGGTGCAAGAATAAGAAGATCTAATCACGTGTGTGACTGTGTTCTCCCTAACTTAAACTTACGTAAAGTAGTGATGTTAAAAGATAAACGGTTAACGGTTTCGCGTTAAAACGTCACGGTCTAAAGTTATTCGGTATCAAAACCGATTTTCTTTTCTACCTATCACCAGAGTGGTTACTCATTAATGTTAACTTGTTTTGTAATTGTCCTTGCACCGCTTATCAAATAAAAAGCAAAATAAATGAATCATATATTTCGATTTATATTTGATATTTTATTATATAAAATTAAATTAAAACTCTTATTAATTAAAATTATTAGAGTAAAATTTCTTGGAAGCGTGTGTCTTGCGTCATAGTCGAAGAAGATGTAACTCAATGTAACCGAAGCAGGCCGCCCATGCGACCAAATTAGGTTCGCCGGCTGAACGGAACTATTTCAGGCGCGCGCCCGAATACCCGCGAACATACCCGAACAAACCCGAATCTAATCGCAGAATGAAATAGCGGATGCTAGAGTTGCAATTTTTATGCCATTATTTTATTTAGCAAGGTCATTAGCACATCGATATCAATACTTGGCAATGGCATTTACAAAGCCTTGATTTAAAAACAAAACACATTTGTGTACTAATTCTTATTGGTTAACAGAAAATAGTAGTTGGAAAAGGAATGGAGTTTCCATAATATATAATTATGTATATTGAATTGTTAAATAAAATATTTATTCTTCCTTCGGGGATAATAAAGCATGCAAGGGAAGTATTTGAGGAGATAATATAATGACATTCATGGTATCAAATGTCAGTTACTTCACACCGCGATAGCGACTTGGAGCGGAGCCAAAACGTTTCATGTATCACTCATGTCGGCCGATGTTCGCCAAATACGTAACTTTTATGTATCCTTGAAGTGATATTGGTGTTCCTCAATCATTTTCATTTTATTTTATACGATAAAAAGGCTTTTATATAGAAAATCCGGATTTTTATAAAATGTAGTGATATTTTTTGTTTTGCGATGAAATAGTTTTCTCGGAGTTTTCTATTTTTTTTTGCAAAATTACATTTTGTAAAACGGCATTAAGTTTGATGTCTATGTATGTTGGCTAGACTTGTCTTATTTCACTTGACCTTGAAATAATATAAGATCTATGTATAGACTCGAAGCCTATTAAGTAGGTTTATTGGTCTAAATCAGTAATGAGTAAAAAAAATCAAAATCATTGATATTTATTAAACTCAATTGAACAATGTAACTCAATATTTAATAATAATAATCATTTAAAGGCTTACATATGTAAACAAATTATTTTATAACCCGTTTTTGTTTCAGGACTCCTGAACCAACACATACAAAATGGCGGATGATGAAGTGAGGTAAGGTGTTACTAAATAACCAATCTTTAAATTATACTAGTATTGTTTAATGAATAAGAATTATTAAAAATGGTACTTTATGAAAAGCTTATTTAAGTTGCAAAAGTATGTTGCACATCTGTGGTAAGAAAGATTTAAAAATATGAATTAAACACATTTACATGAACAAAACAAAACATGTTGCAAGTATAAAAAATAAGTGTAAAATTGCATTAAAAAACAAAGAAATTTTTAATTTAATGGAAATGGTTACTTAATTTTGGATGGTGTTCAATTGTTATTTTTTCTAATCAAATGTTTTCTTAATTATTCTGTTTCATTGAACTTCACAACGTCAACCGTACGGATCTTCGGTCTTCGTTTCTGCGAACAATCTTGAAATCTGCCACACAACAGTATTAATAATTATGTCTCCTTGAGGCTAAGGTAAATAACTAACAATTACTAATACACTTACAAAATATACCAAACAGAAAAATATTACAAAGTACACTTTCACGTACTCTACCAATACAATAAAAATCGTTTAGTTTTGAATGCAATTGAGATACAATATAAAATTTTATTTTTTATCAAATTGGTAATACAATTTATGCTGTATTGAAAAAGATACATGTTCCATTTTACGTGAAATTTTTGTTACAGCTGACTATAAATATTTTTTTAAAAATTTGTAAGTTATTGGTATGCAATATCTCGGTCTTTCAAACGAAAGACTGTTTTATGTTCTCACTGAGCTTTCTACTGCAATGATTAATAAAATAATTTGTTGTGAATTACAAATGAATAACAACAATCGAATCATAGAAAAATATCGCAAAACAAGCACTAATTATCTACAAATTTGTTTAAATTTGCTCTACATAATGTTCTGGGTTCGAAGTTACTTTTGATTTAAAATAATTATTTTGGGGACTTTCTGAGCAAATCTAAGCAATTCTCAACTGCACAAAATATCACAGATGCACAAAACTCACAAACAATAATCATTTATTTTTTAAGGTCTTTTATAACAAAATTGTTTCTTACACTTTGTTTTATACATTTGTTCTACTCCACTTTGTTGAACACTTTGTTACTTGTTTTAAAACTATCTGTTTCACAATTTCAATAACAAAAGTTACTATATTTAAGCCTCTAGACTGTGAACTAATTTATTTTCTTTTTTTTTCAGAAAAAGCGTCTCGAGGAGGTAAAGAAGATAAAAGAATACCTTAGATTTTTTAATTCTTTTTAATAATAGTAGTAAAAATAGTTAGTTATAAACTAGATAACTTGTATGTTATTATTTTTATTATAATATAGTAGTATAGCTAACAAATTTAGTAGTCAGCTCATTATTTTGTGGTTATATGTGTGTGAACCTCTTGTATTAAATCTTTATTTTACTATGTTCATTAAAGATGCATACTTGTATTAACAGGGAAACACACACATAGCATCACGCGTATTTTTATTAAACCTTTTATACTAGCTTTAAGTCCCATATGTTCAGGCGAAGAAGGCCAAACAGGCCGAGATCGACCGCAAGCGCGCTGAGGTGCGCAAGCGCATGGAGGAAGCCTCCAAGGCCAAAAAGGCCAAGAAAGGTTTCATGACACCTGAGAGGAAGAAGAAGCTTAGGGTGAGTAATATTTTTGCACATTATATGTTGAGGTAATGTTAACAGAAAATTCAATTTAAATTGTTGTACTAACAGTTGTTGCTGCGTAAAAAAGCCGCTGAAGAGTTGAAGAAAGAACAGGAACGCAAAGCTGCGGAGAGGAGGCGCATCATCGAGGAGAGGTGCGGCAGACCCAAGAACATCGATGACGCTAACGAAGGTATACCCGCTTACGACACTTTCATCAATTCGATTGTTTAGAATATTTTTACACTTTAAATTATTACATGTTTCTAGATTTTAAGCAATACTCGGACAACCCAAAGGTACACTTACAACGTACAAAGTGGCAATTAGCAAAACTGCGGTTGTCATCGCTGTATTACTTAACCTTTATGTATATCGCATTATAGATGCTATTTCGAGGGTTTGCAAAGAATACCACACCCGCATCGGCAAACTTGAAGATGAAAAGTTCGATCTGGAATACATCGTTAAACGGAAAGACATGGAGGTAGCCGAATGAGCTGCTACCAGCACTCTCTTTTGACGAACTCACAAAACTTACAAATTCTTACTTTCACTTAACTCTTTGACCTGCCAAAGTGCCGTCTTGTCTCTATCGCGTCTCTATAACACCGGATAACGCAGTCTGGAGTGTGGTGCCGCTGGAATCTAAAAGTTGCGGACTTTTCTACCTTCTAATTCTATCCATTCTTCTAAGCTGTATGTGAAGTCGTTAATATTGCAAATACTTACCTATTTCCTTCTTTAAGTATATTTTATTAATTTCCACCTGAGACCTACATATCATATATACCATAGTGCTTTTGCGTGGCGAGCCGTCGCCGGCTGTGAGGGAGGTGTGAGGTAGGAGGTGGGAGGTGGTAGGTAGTGGCAGGACGGGAGTAACGTGTGTTGATGTTGTAGCCGCTCTCACGAGCATCATAACCGGCTACCATCAGCGTATCGCCAAGCTCGAGGAGGAGAAGTACGATCACGAGATGGAAGTGGCGCGCAGAGAGCTCGAGGTCTGACCTGGTTTGGGCGCTAAGCAATTCACATATTACGCTACGTTTGCGTAGTTCATGCCGACTCTGTGACTAGAACACGATTTTGTTTTCTCTGCCGACTCATTCACACAACGGACTTGAAAATATAAATACCTTAAAACCTTAACTAATGTGGATAACATGTTTAATTAATAAATATTAGTTTTCGAATCATATCAATAACAACGTCCCGTTTATTCCAAAACCGGAGCTAAAATATTTGTAGATAATGTCATCGAGTTTTTCAATAATATGGGTCCCACCTAGATGTCATCATGTAGCTTCGCTTCCGCTTGTGTCCCACAGACCCGATGTCGTGTTATCCAGTTCGTGTTGGCGTGGCCCCCACAGATGTTTGAGGCGGCATACTTTGTACCGATGTTTCACTTTACCTAAATTTCATATTGTTTTTCTTTAGCGGAACTGCAGACGATATGTCAAATGTACTGGCAAAGAATATACGAGCTTGAGGGAGATAAATATGAACTAGAACGAGGTAGCGAAATTAAGAAAATGGAGGTAAACAGCAAATTAGGATTAGGAATGCATATGACGTGGAATTATTTTTATTCTGAGCTAGTTGCTACGATGTTACGATAGTGGTTCGGCTCACCGCACACATGCACACGTCGCTCTGCCGACTGACGTAGACAGGACACTCACACAAATGTTCATGACCATTCTGCCGGCTCAATAATCTGTCTTTCCTTTTTCTATAGAAATGCTCAAGAATATAATACAGGAGTATTATGACCGCATGTATTTGTGTGAGGGCCAGAAGTGGGATTTGGAACACGAAGTCAGGAAAAGAGATTATGAGGTATTGACCGATTTATACCATTGTGAATATCACGCTCATCGATACCGTAACAAACGTGCGCGTGTCACAGCTCGTGTTGGTACATTGATAGTGCTTCACAAGCATCCGGTTGTTGTCTGACCTGTAAATAATGCGTAGGCGCGGACCGGTGGTACTGGCTGTACTTGTAGACTAGGTGTGTGCGTGTCGTAGGCCGCGAGTGTCGCGCGCGGTGCAAAATCGATCTCGACCGGCCACGGCGCCGGAGATGCGCTGGCCGCTTCTCTATCAACATGTAACTTACACGATTAACTTACTCTAACTAAAATAACTGCCTTGAGGGAAACAGTAACACTGCATTCACTGCCGAGGCGCCTTCGCCATACCGCGGCCTCGTTGCATGCTCGCGTAACATGAGAAACATCTCGTTCATTGACATGTTCCGCCATTTCATCAATTATTATCTGTCGTCGTCATTTGTATCGTTGTTGTTTCTAGCTTAGGATCCGATAGCTTCTTCTTATATTTACAACTAGATAGTCTTATTTTAACAAAACTGTTGCATGATTTTCATAACAAACTTAGCTCCAATTATCCCATTAATGCCCCATAAAATAGTATGGCACTTTAATATCCAAGTGTGAAGAAAAAATACGGAAACCGACCATCGCTGCGTTTGAGCGTGTAACGCTTTGTGTGTGATTTTATTATGGCCTTACTGAATTTTCTCTTTTAATGACATTAAGCAGTACCGTTAAAACAATTGCAACGGTAGAAGAGTTCCTATAATTAGCACACGCAAGTGCAGTAAACGTGAAACTTCATGTTCCAAATCTCATATTTGTATAATCCGTTGATTGACACGCGGTCTGTTTGCGTATTCGATTACTAGATATATTCCGAAACCCTTTAATATTACCACCTGTGTTATTTGTAGTGTATAAAAAGTGCCATGCTCTGATCGATGTTGCCCGATCCTTTCCCTAAAGTCCAGGCGGTGGCGCTAGTGTGCCGGCTTGGACGGAGCGTGAACACAGAATGCCCAAATGTACCCAAACACATTACATTATCAACACATTCAATATCATTTATGATCGATTTTGCACCGTCACTCTGATACACAATTTGGGACATACCCATCACATACGCGTAATAATATTGCGTAAACGATGCGTTCATATGGGAGTTCGCACATCGATTCAGCGCACAATATATTACCTTGGATAACTGGAAGTTGAAAAATTTGAATACATCAATTGAGATACAAAAGATTGTAATTGTAGCAGATAATTTTACATTCGATATCTGTGAGTAAAATATTCCAGTAATAAAGAGGTAAAATTTTGTCGGCGCTAGTGTTAATAATGCACATGTAAATTATAATGCACTTATTGTGATTGGACTTCACGAATGTCCAGGTGCTGCAGACGACCAGCAACCGACACATGAGTAGTTAGTCTGCACGTATAAGTGGTACACAATGTCATTTAAGTAGTGATTACATAAATGTAAAATATTTAGGAGAAGAGCACAAACAATGTCACAAATAGTCTAGGACGTGGGATCTATTCTCGTATGTACTTGATGTCTTTCAATCTCAAATGGTCTTATATCTTTTAAACTGTATTTCAACTCGCAAATAACACCGCCTAATCTTTTCTCAGTTCTTTACCTTTTTATTCTTTTCTTTTATAAATTAATCACTATTTTGATGATGATTTTTTTAACTCTTACTTCTAATTATGTGTACTCTCTATGTGCTTTTAATGATTTCGCAGCTTTAAATGTTTTTAAAACTTTGGCATTTTTCATTAATTGCATGTACTTATTGACTTTTTTAGTCTATTTCCTATTCTTTTATAATTTGTAAAAAAAGTCTGATTCATCGATGTTTTTAATATTTCCACATTCGTTTAGATTCAATAATTGTAATTATTAATATCTTTTGTGTAAATTTTGTCAAAAGTTACATTAAAATTATTAGTTCCATTCGATGTATTAGATTAGCTTTGTTCCTTGATCATTTGTTCTTTGTTATTTCTTTTCTTTTACGCCATTACACATTTCTTCTCAAATTCTCCATTTTTAAAAAACATCTATATCATTGATATTAAACGTAATTTATATTACCAGATTGCCGACCTGAACTCTCAAGTCAACGACCTCAGAGGCAAATTGTAAGTATTCCATATTTTCACTATTCACATGAAAACTTTGTGGTGCTGCCTTTTTACGTGAAATGATCTCAAAATCTTACTAGTATTATAAATGCGAAAGTTTAGATGGATGGATAAATGGATTTTTGTTAAAGTTTGTATCCTACACAGCTGAACGGATCTCGATGAAATTTGGCATAAATGTAGAAGTCTGGAAGAACACATAGGCTACTTGCTTTTGTTTTCTAATTTTTTAGTTGGAGTCGCGAGCGATAGCTAGTAAATAATAATATTAGATCAAAATGTATTTTCTAAAAAAACACAGTCTCATATGGTGATAAGCTAGAAGTAGTAGTAACATCACGGTTGGTCCTGTCAGAAATTGCACTTGAAAATGAGGCATTATTTGAACCAAATAGCTATTTCTAGTGACATTTTTGCTTATAGGGCCTGATAAATAGTCCCACAATACGTCTTTACTGACATACTTTGTTACTTCTAGCGTCAAACCTACACTCAAGAAGGTGTCCAAATACGAAAACAAATTCGCTAAGCTTCAGAAGAAGGCAGCTGAATTCAACTTCCGTAACCAACTGAAGGTTGTCAAAAAGAAGGAATTCACCCTTGAAGAAGAAGACAAAGAGGTAAGCTCACGTCCCTTGATTTAATAAGTTTTTAAATCAGGATTAAAATACACATAAATTAAATTTTAGTTAATGAAATTATTGTGATCATTGGGTTTGTATATCTGACACAAAATTTTGAATTCCGTTCTATAAAAATACGTTATGTGTTAGAATACTTTACATGAATTTGCTGTAATGGTTGTTTGAAAAGTAAAGCAAAAGAAAAACAAGTATATCTAATCTCTATCATGCGCTGCATAAAAAATGAAGGAATACATGTCTTCTTTGCTCGTATTTCAACAGGCTAAGAAAGCGGAGAAGGCTGATTGGGCAATCGGCAAGAAGTAACCGATCACAAACAATTATATAAAAAAAAACGTTTCCTTCGTGACCACTCAATGTTGTGATGTCTTACTTATAACTTATCCGTACATTATAAAATAAATTTATTTATAATTTTTATTAATTCTTTAAAAATTACCTAAGTTACCCAAACAAGTATAACGAGGTGAGAACCAGTTTCTTCAGGGATTGAATGTTGCTTACGATTACCTAAGTTATATGTATGTTGATTGCATTCGAAAACATTAAATGTTAACATTTTACCCCATCCTGAAGCATATTTGTGGTATTTAGAGGATCGGATTTATTTTATTTTTGAATTATTTTCCCATTGAGCTTCGCACATCCTATTGGGCTTTAAGGAGGGTTACACAGATGTATTTAATTCACATTGTGACTAACAATACCACACTAAAGGCGTAAGCCAATTCTATCACAATCCAATGTACCTTTTTAACTGTCCAATTGACTTAATAATTGAACAGGTTCTGCTGAAGGTTCAGAGATTTTATCTTCAAAGTTTTACGTAGTCAACTTTTCCAAATTTCTTTGTTTTAATTATTAAGATGTATATTAGATTTATATTTGAGATGTTTTATTTTGATGCGCTATTCCGCAGGCTGCCGGGGCGGGCAAGGTAAATATAGGAGCCGTTGAAAGATAAATTAGCCACGGTTTTCGAATAGTTTATACTGGCATGTTCCAAATTCTTAGCACAGTTTGGCATCGAACCATTGATAGAATGGTGTACCGCACATAGTTTACCATTGGCGCTGGATTAGTGTACAAAAATAGATCTACCTACAGACCGTGTATTTTCTTTCGATAGCACCATCTATTTTCCGTCTTTATCTACAGAGAGTAGATCATTGTTTGAAATTTTTTCCATCTTTTGTTTTACATCCTCGAAAAGGAAAGCTAGGGCATTAGCATCCTTGTAAATATTTCGTCTTTTTATAACATTTTATCTAGCAACATGAAGATAAATATCAAGTATCAATATTTTGTAATACATGTAGAAACTAGATAAAATGTTAGTATCCATTTTGTTGAATAGCATTTAGATTAGCACCAGACTTCGCTTCTCTAGCTAAGGTTTAGACATCTGTACAAAAACTGCTTCGAGGTGTGTGTGCACCGCTTATAGAAATGACTTGTGTTTAAGTTACAATTCGTGCACTATGCTACTTGGTAAACATATGAGAAATACTTTTAGCATAGCGTGCAGAAGTGTAATTTTCAGTTTTTAGATTTAAATTTTAGTGGCAAATAATATAACAAAGAAGTGGTTAAAGATACAAATTTGTTTCCGATTATGCTTTTGGTAATAATACTTAATTAAATTGGTTATTTTATTTGCCAATATATTGATAGTTTATTAGATGAAACTTACTAGTGGTTGCTCTATCATTGGAAAGAAAAGAAGCATAACAGTATTCGCAGTACTGCCAACATGCAAACACGATATTGTTTCTTTTTTAGCCAATGGGAGACTTCAATTTAACTAAAGCTTGGAAGTAATATTTATCTTTTCCTACAGAAAAAGCCAGACTGGTCCAAGGGCAAGCCGGGAGACCAGAAGGTAAAAGAAGAAGAGGTTGAGGCATGAAGTGTTAAACCCCCACCACCAAAAAAAACTATATTGTGAACCTATTGTATCAGTTGACCACAAGCCGTAGAACTTAGAATGTGATATACCTATTCCTGAGTACGGCTCTGTCAGACCTTTTTATTGCCTCGATCAGCCAACGGCAAATTCCTCCATTATCCATATGTATATCGTCTGACCACAATACAATTTCATAAATGTCTAAACCTTTATAATTATTTATTTATTTTAAATAAATTTTTGTAAGTTAATAATACGTTTAATAAAAATTAATTTTCTTTAATATATTTATACGTGGTTGTGACGTCATTTTGTTACCTTCGTACCTATTTCCTTTGAATCCCTTATAGAATTATTATTTGAACCTTTACAATTTAATAAGATGAAAATCCTCAATGTGTTAATGCATGATCACATTTGAAATGTATTTTTACATATTTGATACTATTATTTTTTATTTACATTTCCCATCTTTAAGGAAGTATAAAGTTTAGTAAAAGAAACTAGTGAAAACTGCAGTGAAAGGTTAGTAATTATTTTTATAATTACGAAAGAATAAGAAGATATGAGACAGAATAGATGTCCTCTACAAACATATTATTAATGCGAAGATTTCACTAACGATTTAACAACCGAAGAAATACAAGGACATAGAAAATAACAGAAATTGTATCTATAACTTCCTAAAACAATATTAGGATTATCGAAAAAAAATTCTATGGTGGGCAACCCTAGATGTAATAATTAAGTACAAAAAACAATACTCTCTTTAAGTCTGGTAAGTATAGAGAAATCGTGCAGATGATCAAAGTTAAAAGGTAGAAATATCCTATCTAAGGCCCTAACAGTTTGACATATTATAAAATGCGACAAGTTATTCGATTCGTTTTCTTTCCTTATTGGGGTAGAGCCGATTGGCCTTTGTTTCTGAAATTAATTAAAAATATCTGTATCATATCTATCATAGGTATGTTGTATGACATATTTATTTTGTGTTAGGAGGGTGAATCAACGCCTGCTACTCCCGCGCCAGCAGCATCATAAGCATAAGGCAAGTATTACTTAAAAGAACTGTTTGACTACAATTTTATATATACACTAGATGTTCCCATGCGACTTCATCTGCATAAAATTATAAAAACATCATTTTATTGTTTACATTTGTCAAATTATCAATTGCAAATGTCAAAATGACATGACATGATGTCAAACCATGGCAACCTTGATTTCTTGATGTTGGCAGCAACTTATGGTCTCTTTCCGATGTTAGGGTTTTTATACAAAATATTTAGCCTTAAGTTAAATGACGTGAAAATACATAGCCTAAAGCGTAACGGAAGTGTAGGGCTTTTTATTAAAAGAAGAGTTATTCAAAAATATGCTGCGATTGCCGACATCTTAGGCAACAAAGAAGTGTGTGCTCGATACGTATGATTTGTAAAAGCTAAATAATCACTTTTAATTTCCATGTGATGTTTTCATCAATTTAAATAAGCAAAATAAGATTTAAGTTATTATTAATTACAGATTGCCATTAAGCCTTTAAGCAAGCAGAAGAACTTAACACGCCAAAGATTGTGCTTAACTAGCAGCTACATGATGACGTAACGATGGAATAGCTTAATTAATAAAATCTCTACAACTCCGATAAAAAAATGTAATTTATGTTTTAATTTCGAATTATTTTCATTAAGTTAAATTATTGTTTATTACTTTGTAAATTTTTATTATCTAAAAATAATAATAATATATCTTTTAATTACTCTCGTATTATTTATTTCGAGATTATCTTACTAATATTATAAATGCGAAAGTTTAGATGTATGGATGTTTGTTAGAGTTTGTAGCCTAAACAGCTGAATGGATCTCGATGTAATTTGGCATAGACGTACAGAATAGTCTGGAAAAACATGTAGGCTACATTTTTTATAATTCCACGCGGACGGAGTCGCGGGCGAAAGCAAGTAAAAAGAAGAATGATTGAAGTTTGAAATTACCTAATGTTATTTAAAGCATGTATCTCATATTAAATTTAATGTTACTTTACATGCCTAAATAAAATTAAATAATTGTACAATATTATAGTTATCGCACAAGTTTTTGGCAATGATAATCTACGGAAAAACGACATGGGAGCATAACTTAGATAATAGCGTCAGCTTCAGTCCGCTTAAAGCTCTCTCGTAAGCTTTATCAGCGCCCGTAGCCCGTGTTTAAACTACCTTACAACTCATACTAAATTAACTTTGGATTAAATTACCTTTGTACCACGCAAGTGAAATTAAATGTTATTTGAACATTTAGATTAATGTTTAAGTAACGTAGCTTACTCATTTATTAAATGAATATTTAAAATTACATCATTAAAATGTAATATAAATTTATTTACTTGTTTTATTCCCCGATTATTTTTGGTGTTATTTAAGTTATAGACATTACAATCCCTGAAGAAATCTTTGATAAAACCTGTTACCATTTTTAATTGAAGAGTAATTAATTTGCCTATCACGAAATGTCAATCTGCATGAGAAATATCATTTATATTAAGCGTGAACGATTTAATATCCCTCTGTAGACAAAGTTGCTAAATGAAAACGAAGCGCAGTTTCACGACGAATAGTGGATCGCACCGAGCTCTTTTCATCGTTCCCGTAATTTTCCACTTCCTTGAACTGATGTAACAAGCTTTGTTCTAAGCCTGTTTTGTATGCACTCCCATGCCGGCGATCATCATACTTTACGCTTTAATTTTATAGTTGTTGTTACTGGCCGTTCAAGATACCTATAATAATCACATATGCTAAAATAGAGACTATCGTTGTTTTGGAAGAAGAACTAATACAAGACATGGAAACAAAATTAGTGTATGTAAATTTATAGTAGAGACAAAGCTATTTCGTAAATTTCTTGGAGTTTCATTTTTGTATACGTAATAAAAAAAGAAACGATAAAATTAATTTGTTGACACAATTTTTTGCAGGAAATCTTGATAACGACGTATCTTTTGTCTTAATAAATTTCTGCTCGAGACGTTGAGTAATTGAAGCACATCACACAAATCACTCCTTGAAACTGAAATATGGGTAAAAAAGAACCTTGTTGTACTTCTCTACTCTTAATTCTACAAAAAGAAAAATTTCGACACCGCCTTTCAGTTCAGTTTAGAAGGAATCATGGCCAAGTGCTGGTTTATTTATAACTAGCTATTTAATTATGAAAATTTTATTTTACAGTTTACATTTGTCAAATTATCAATAGCAAATTTCAAACTGACAATGCCATGACAAACCTTGGTAATCTTGTTTCCTTGATGTTGGCAGCAACTTATGGTCTCTTTCCCACATTAGGGTTTTTATCCAAAATATTTACCCCCTAAGTTAAATGGCGTGAAAATATATAGCCTAAAGCGTGCCGTAAGTGTATGGCTTTTTATTAAAAAAAGTATTATTGAAAAATATGTTGTAAATGCTCACATCTTAGGCAACAAAGAAGTGTGTGTTTACGCTTTATTATAATAGTATAGATATAAATAAGAAAGTAAGTAGAACCCATTTTAATATAACGTATTATCACCTATACTAAAGCAATATTTGTTAATATTTCAACGTACTGTATTATTAAAGGTAAATGTATCTTTCCTGCTTTGATAATTAACGTCCCTTGAGAGAAAGGTCGCCTTCATTTCTTATCTGTTATTGTGTTTCCGTTACACGTTGTTTTAATTACCTTTGGAGATAAAGGGACGGGACCTTGTTAGCTAATTAAATTTGAACATGTTCACATTGATAAAGTTTTAGCAATATCGTGCTGTGAATATAGTATAACTTGTTATTATTATTAGACAACTTATTTAATTGATACTGTCGCTTTTAACTCAGAGCAATACTTCTCGTCAAGACTTAGGATGCGCGCCAAATCTATCCATACTTCTAGTGACATTGACAGCTGTCAGCTAGGGACGTGACGTTTATACCGATAATCTAGAGTTGCGCCAATTCTATAGCACGGTACTAATTTTATTCCTAACAGTATGGGTCGGTAAGTTAGTTAAATTGTAAATGTAAGTTTTAATATATTAGTATAAAATATGGTAATAAAATAAAAAGTAAAATGTAAAAAGAAAGAAGCGAAAAATCTATCATCCAAAAGATCTGTAAGATTGCTAACAATATCTGCGGTGCTTACAAATAATATTCGTACCATATTTGGGGATTTTACCTTGGATTTTGTGGTACAAATAGAATTTGTGTAATGTTCAACCATTATTCAATGTCGGCTTCAGAAATTTAAAATGAATGAGCTGTCGTTATCGTTGCCATAAATATGCAAGTGATCAAATAATACAAAATATAACGAAAGGATCGAAAAATTCTTAATCTGAATCTCTGTATGACTTTATTCTTTCAATATCAATTTGTTAAAATATTTCTCACATACTTTAAACCTGCCAATTTTAAAGTACATCTGATAAACGCCAGGCTTTATAAGAAAGCTAGCTTTCGCCCGCGACTCCGCGGCCCGCGAATTAAAAAAACAAAAGTGAGTAGCCTATTAGTTCTTCCAGACTATCCTCTACATCTCTACCAAATTTAATGGAAATTCGTTCAGCCGTTTAGACTACAAACTCTAACAAACATCCATCCATCTATCTAAACTTTCGCATTTATAATATTAGTATAAAGTATGACGGTTGTTTGAAAACGGTAGTGGTTTTACCATAAAAACTATTTTTAACAAATAATATTTACTCCTTACTGATCAAAATGTCTAGAACTCAAAAATAGCTAGTGTAATTATAAAATAATTAAAAGTAGTACCGAATTTACAAGTACGGTAGTGAGTACAAAACATTATGAACGTAATGTGAGCTATTATTTGCTGTCGGGATCAGTTCAGCAAGATATAGGGGTGGTCGTTACCACGATGTTCTTATCCCACATCCCGACATATTTAAATGAGCAATGGAAGACATTACTGCATAACTTGTTCAACTTTTTCATAGTCTTGCGTCACTTTGTGAGACGAATATAGTTTTTTTTAAGATGGTTACAGTTATAGATTGAATAATTCATAATTGCTAAATTAAATGTGTACTTTTTGAATATAGATAATATCCTGGTTTTCTACGGCCTTAATACTTATACACTTGCTTGTAGGCATTTCTGTTTTTCTTAAATATTTGTTAATTATTATGAAAAATTTTCGTTCATTTAAATTAATTTAAAAATAGCATCCATGCGATTACTTTGTAAATACGTTAAAAGCTCTCTGGATGTGCGGTACTAACTTCGTT